TATATATATATATATTTATATATATATAAACATATATATATATATATAATATTTACATATACTTATTTGTTTATTTATATGTTTATCCTTGCATATTCTTTACACCTAATTGCCTCTCTTTGCCTATATATATATATGCATAGATAGATAAAAATAAACAGAATTAAATAAATAAATAAATATATATATATATAAATGCATATATATATGAATAAGTTTAAATAAATATAAATATAAATATATTGCTTGTGGACAAGTCCCCTGCATATTATTTAAACCGATTTGCCCGCACTCTTAGCCTATATAAATATAAATAAATAAATAAATAAGTATATATATATATATAAATGCATGCATAAGTAGATAAAAAGAAGTATAATTAAATAGAATTGAATATAAATATATTTATATTGTTTATCTGCAGGTCCCCTGCATATTATTTACGCCGATATGCCCTCACTCTCTTTCTTTTCGGCCTTTAATTCTGCCGGACAGCGCAATACTTAGGGTGTATGTACCCCACAGCAGCAGAGGAGCAGCACGTGTTGCTGTTGATGGTATTCATAGGAAGCAGCTATTAAAAGGGATGAGTGTAGAGATCTTTATTGCTGCAGCACCGCTACCGCTTGTTGTCAGCAGCAGCAGCAGCAGCGAAACGCAGTGGGCACACTCTCTAAGTAAATGTCTTAACTGGAACCTAAGAATAGGGCAGCAGCAAACATATCAAACTCATAAACAGCAGCAGCAGCAGCAGCAGCAGCAGCAAGGGCAGCAGCAAGGGCAGCAGCAGCAGCAGGAAGGGCAGCAGCAACAGCAGCAAGGACAGCCGCAGAAAGAGCAGCAGCACTGTACACAGCACTCCACATCCTGTCATGCCTGCAACGCCAGTCTGCAGCTGCAGCAGCAGCAGCAACAGCAGCAGCAGCAGCAGCAGTGGTTGCTTCATGGGGGCCCATCAGATACTCCACCCACACCTCTAATGCTCGTCCGAAGCACAAAAGCTGCTGCTGCTGCTGCTGCTGCACCTGCACCTGAAGCCTCTGCAGCAGCAGCAGAACCTGCTGCTGCTGCTGCTGCTGCTGGAGATTCATATCTGCAGAAGCGGGAAATGCCGCAGGACTATTCCGATAGAAATGCTGCAGCAGCAGCAACAGCAGCAGCACCACCTCCAGCAGCAACAGCAGCAGCAGCAGCAGAAAAAGCAGCAGCAGATGAAAATCTGCCCTCTGCAGGCTGCAGCACAATCTGCAGCAGCGGGGATGCGCTTGCAGTTGAAGAGCAGCAGCAGAAACAGCAGCAGCAACAGCAACAGCAACAGCAGCAGCAGCCCCCTATACTCGATCAGGCTGCTGCAGCAGCAGCAGTGTCTCCATCACTAACAGCTGCAAATGCCCTGCAAGGTGAGCACAGCTTTTGTCTAATGCTGCTGCTGCTGCTGCTGCTGCAGTTCTTGCCTTCGAGTCCTGCCGCAACAGCAGCAGCAGCAGCAGCAGCAGCACTAGCAGCAGCAGCCTCCTATGGGCTGGCCCGCGAGGCGAGCAGCTTAGGCGTTCAAGGGTTTAGGGTTTAGGGTTTAGGGTTTAGGGCTGTTTGTCTCCTTGTTGTTTTTATGCTGCCTCAGGGAGCCCTTCTGGTGTTTGCTACTGCTGCTGTTGCCAGCCCAGCCACCGTCACAGCAGCAGCAGCTGCAGCAGAAGCAGGTGCAGCAGCAGCAGCAGCAGCAGCAGCAGCTATGCCCGTAGTTGGCGTGGCTGCTGCTGCTGCCGTGGAGCGCGTACTGTTGATGCTTCTATGAGGGGCTCTGGGGGGGAATGGGTTCCTGCAGCAGCAGCAGCAACAGCAACGGAAGCAGCAGCAGCAACAGCAGCAGCAGCAGCAGCAGGAATGGGTGGCGGCAGCCCCAGGATATATCGCGCCTTCCCCTTGAGGTCTTCGGCGTTCTCTGGAAGCAGCAGGCAGCAGCAGCAGCAGCAGCAGCCGCTGCTGCACCTGCAAGAGCGCCACTACTTGACAAGTGAAGATACAGAGGGCGTCTGCAGCAGCAGCTGCAGCAGCAGCTTCAGCAGCAGCTGCAGCAGCAGCACCAGGAGGTTCCCTAGCTGCGGCGAGCTTAACCGAGTTCTTCAAGCTGATGCTGCTGCAGCTGCTGCTGCTGCTGCTGCTGCGGCTGGCACCAGCTGCGCTCGTTGCAGCACGAAGCTGCCCCGCTCCCACAGAATCTTTGCTCCTGTAGCAGCAGATGCAGCAGCAGCAGATACAGCAGCAGCAGATGCAGCAGCAGCAGATGCAGCAGGAGAAATTGCAGCAGCAACCACTACTGGTCCTGATAGAGGAGCAGCAGCGGCCGCAGCAGAGCAGCATCAGCACAGCAGCAGCAGCAGCAGCAGCAGCAGCAGCAACAGCAACAGCTGCTGCTGCTGCTGCTGCCGTTCCCACCGGCGCTGCAGCAAAGCTGCTGGCCATAGTCATGAGGTTTTGCGGGGCAGCAGCAGCGCTTTCTTTAGACCTTTTAGTGATGCCACCCCAACTGTAAACCCTAAACCCTAATCTCTAAACCCTAAACCCTAAACCCTTGGGCAATATCCACCCTTACGCCGCTTAAACACAATAGCCTAACACTAGAGTTTTGATGTTGTTTTTAGGGTTTACGGTTTGGTGATTAGGGTTTAGGGTTTGGTGATGAGGGTTTAGGGTTTAGGGTTTAGGGTTTGTGCATTTGCTGCAGGTGCAACTCGAGGCACATAGCACAGCTGTGTTGTTGACTGACGTCTGCAGCAAAAAGCAGCAGCAGCAGCAGCAAGAGAAGCAGCAACAGCAGCACCAAGGGCAGCAGCAGCAAGGGCAGCAGCAAGAGCAGGAACCACAGGAGCAACAGGAGCAGCTGCGTGAGCGGAAGCAGCAGCAGCAGGAGCAGCGGCAACAGCAGCAGGAACAACTGCAGCAGCCTGAGGAGCAGCAGCAGCAGCAGGAAGAGAAGGCTGCACCACCTGCAGCAAAAACAATTGAGGGCTGCAGCAGCAACAGCAGCAACTGCAGCACTTGACAGCTGCGCGGCCATGCCGACAGCTGCTGCTGCTGCTGCAGCGGCAGCAGCAGCAGCAGCAGCAGCAGCAGCAGCAACGGGTGTCTGTACACCTGAATGCAGTCTCTGCCCCCGGAGCGAATTTCAACTCCGGTGCCGACGCAATTTTTTTTTAGCTCACCGAAACCCTAAACCCTAAACCCTAAACCCTAATAGTCACTCACAGTACGAGAACGTGCAGCTGCCTTAGGGCCGACGCAGCAGCGGCAGCAACAACTGCAGCAACAACTGCAGCAGCAGCAAACGCAGCAGCTGCAGTAGCAACGACTGCAGCAGAAACAGCCGCAGCAGCAACAACTAATCTAGCGGCAGCTGCGGTAGCAACAACTGCAGCAGCAACAGGTACAACAGCAACAGCAGCAGCAACTGCAGCAGGAACAGCAGCAACAAATGTAGCAGAGTAGCGCAGTAGAGTATCTTAAAGAATAAGTCGTGCAGCTCAAGCTTGTGTTGGCAACTGCTGCTGCTGCTGCTGCAGTAAACGCTACTCCCTTAACTGCTGCTGCAGCAGCAGCTGCTGCCGCCTCGAGAGGGGCTGCTGCCCTTTCTGCTGCTCCTGCAGCTGCTGCTGCAGCAAATGCTGCTGCCTCTAACGGTACTGCAGCAGAACCTGCTGCTGCTCTTATCGGTGTTGCTACAGCTGCTGCTACTTCAAAATCATTGCTGCAGCAGCAGCAGGGAACGAGTGCTGCTGCAGCGACAGCTCCTGCTCCTGCTGCTGCTGCTGCTGCTGCTGCTGCTGCCGATGCAGCAGCAGCAGCAGCATCTGCTGCTCAGATGCTGCCTTCACTGGGGAGCAACCATCTTGGGAGCATGCGGGCCTGCACAGGACACAACAGCCAAACCCTAAACCCTAAACTCTAAACCCTAAACCCTAAACCCTAAACCCTAAACCCCACCAAGCCCTGAGGTCTATGCCGTAGTAACCCCTGAACTCCAAACCCTACCCCGTCTCAACCCCCAGCCCTCAAACCCTAAATCCCCAAACCCTAAACCCTAAACCCTGAACCTTTAAATCCTAACCCTAAACCCCCAAGCCCTAAACCCTAAACCCTCAAGCCCTAAACCCTAAACCCTAAACCCTAAACCCTCGCACCAGTTTTGCAAGTTGGCAGTTTAAGGAATTCATCCCAGTCATACGCGCGACCCCCGCAGCAACTCCAGCTCTTGCAACCATCGCGAAAAGTAGGGGCCCCAGGGTGATAGCTGCAGCAGCAGCAGCAGCAGCAGCAGCAGAAGTTGCAGCAGCAGCAGCAGAAATTGCAGTTGCAGCAGCAGAAGCAGCAGCAGCAGAAACTGCAGCAGCAAAAAGAAAGGTCCTAACTGCTTTTACAGCTCCAAGAGATGCAGCACGGAGCAGCAGTAGCGAAGAGGAGCAGCACGCGCTGCAGCAGCAGCAACAGCAGCAGCAGCAGACCTGCATGCAGTGTCGTTGTTGTCCTCTGGTTTGTAGTTTTTGCTGCAGCCTTTGTTAATACATTTATGCTCCCCGTCCGGAGATACCTGCAACACAAACAGCCACCCCATCTGCTGCTGCTGCTGGTGCTGCTGCAGCCACTAGAGCTTTTGTTGTACTTCTGCTGCTGCTGCTGCAACGAATCTTGCTGCTGATGGTGGTGCTGCTGCTCCTCCTGCATCGGCTGGAGCTGAAGCTGCTGCTGCTTCTGCTGCTGCAGCGACTGTAGCTGCAGCAGCAGCTGCTGCTGCTGCTGTTTCTGAGTGCTTTCGCTCGCCTACCCAGGGCACTTCCGTCTGCAGCACACAAAGAGAGGCAGCAGCAGCAGCAGCAGCAATCCTACAAACAGCAGCAGCAGCAGCAGCATCACCGGCATAGGAGCTGCAGCAGCAACAGCGGGAGAGGGAAAAGTAAGAGATGAGGAGACTGACTTGCTGCTGTTGCTGTTGCTGCTGCTGCTGT